CTCCTGGGCTCAAGCGAGTCTCCTGCCTCCGCCTCCCAAGTAGCTGGGACCACAGGCGCCCGCCACAACGCCCGGCTATTTTTTGGTTGCAGCTGACATTGTTGTTTGGCGGGTCCAGGCTGGGGATTCAAACCCGCCACCTTAGGTGTAGGTGGCTGGTGCCTTAGCCGGTTGAGCTATAGGTGCCGAGCCTCATCTCATTTCTAAGAGGGCTCCACTGTGTGCTCTTAAGCGATTTCTATAACTTCTTCATGCCTTTTTCTTAATCTCAACTGACACAGCTCACACTTCTCTTACTGCCCAAAGGAAGTGCTATCTGCATAAACCGAATAAAGAAAGAGAAGTACAAAATGTCATGTGAATATGTTTTATTCATGAGAAACAGTATGAAAGCCATGTAAAGAAAGAACTATTGGTCCCAGAGGGTGTTTTTTTCCCAGCCACACCCACATACTGACCACAATCTCAGCCAGTTGTGTCCTCTCTGATTACAAAGAGGTAACACAAAAAGTTCTGGCTGCAGCAGAGTCCTGGTTCACATGAAAAGACCAAATGGGGAGGCAAGAATGAGGGGTAGTCACAAGGACAAAGGTCCCTTCCAGTTCTAAGATCCTAGAATTTTAATTTTTTGAGAGTTTGGGAGTAAAGATGCTCAGCTGAACAAGAGAAGCATCCCACTTTTACCTGCCAGTGTGGAAAACCTGTCATAGCCCCATACACCTGAGATTGAATTTGTACCTTGTCTTCACCTGGGCTTAAGTCAGTGGTGATCACACAGTTTACAAATATAGGATTTTTTAAAATGTATTAGTTTTGTTTGGATGAATACACAAATATTGGAAAGTATGTCCTTTACTGCCATCACAAAAAGCTTGACCAAAACCTCTTTCTTTGATTGAATCTTTCATTTAATTACTGGGCTAGGGAGGAAGGCATTGAGTTATTTTATTTGTTTATTTATTTTGAGACAAGAGTCTTCCTTATAATTCTACTCTGTTGCCCAGGCTAGAGTGCCATGTTGTCAGCCTAGCACACAACTTCCAAGTCCTGAGTTCAAGCGATCCTATTGCCTCAGCCTTCTGAGTACCTGAGACTACAGGCCCTTGCCACAATGCCCAACTAATTTTTCTATTTTGGGTACAGACAAGGTTTTGCCTTGCTCAGGTTGGTCTCAAACTCCTGAGTTCAAGAGATCTTCCCACTTTGGCCTCCCAGAGTGCTAGGATTACACTCTGAACCACCACGCCTGGCCTGAGCCACCATGCCTGGCCAGATATATAGATTTCTGAAGCCAAAGACAACTGAAGTAAGCCATTCGGTGTTATACCAAGAACAGAATATGAGGGATCTGATGTTTATTTCTTCCTAGATAGAGGGTAGAATGGGATGAATACGTAGATCACTACATCAAAGATTAATCGGATGCCCTGAGGGGAAAAAGAAAGAAAGAAAATAGAGAAAGGAAAGAGAGAAATAAGATTTAAAAAAAACAAAACATAGATCACTTACAGAGGAGGGAAAGGAAGAGCCAAAGAGAATAAGATGAGGGTGGCACCTGTGGCTCAAAGGAGTAGGGAGGTGGCGGGTTCAAACCCAGCTCCACCAAAAACTGCAGAAAAAAAAAAAGAAGAGAATAAGATGAGTACGTTCTTGTGTTTTCTTCCTGATCCGTGTTGTAACTAATTCATTATAAAAAGAGCCTTTCTGTGAAATGCTTAAAGAAATAAAAGAAAATTGCCGTTATTATTACAGAAGTCTTCATAATGAGAATCTTTTTTTCTAGAATCCTCCTCCATCTTGGTCTTTTTTTTTTTGAGACTGAGCCTCAAGCTATCCCCCTGGGTAGAGTGCCGTGGCATTACAGCTCACAGCAACCTCCAACTCCTGGGCTCAAGCGAGTCTCCTGCCTCCGCCTCCCAAGTAGCTGGGACCACAGGTGCCTGCCACAATGCCTGGCTATTTTTTGGTTGCAGCCATCATTGTTGTTTGGCAGGCCTGGGCTGGATTCGAACCCGCCACCTTAGGTGTACGTGGCTGGCACCTTAGCCACTTGAGCCACAGGCGCCGAGCCAGTTTCTATACTCTTAAAAGTACTCCCAAAGTCTAAGTGAAGGCTATGACACTTTTCTTGTAATTCTAAGTAACTTGCATTCACTTATAAAACCTTTTTAAAAATGTAAGACATTGTTTATGTTAAAAAGCTTAAAGCTAGGCTGGGCATAGTGGTTCTGACTTATAATCCTAGCACTCTGGAAGGCTGAAGGCAGGTAGATTACTTGAACTAAGGAATTGGAGACTAACAAGAGCGAGACTCTATCTCTACTGAAAAATAAAAATAAAAAAACTAGCCAGGCATTGTGGTGGGCACCTCTATTTATGGCTACTCAGGAGACTGAAGCAAGCAGATTGCTTGAGCCCAAGAGTGAGAGTTTGAAGTTGCTGTGAGCTATGATGCCATGGCACTCTACGCAGGGTGGCAGTGTCTGGAAAAAAAAAAAAACTTAAAGTGGATAGCATTTTATTAACCTGTACTTTTAGAGGAAGACTCATTATAAGAAAGAATATATAAAACTCCAGCTACCAGGTCCTGAATTGCTTCTTACCTCATCTTCCACCATCATGCAATTTTTTTTATTCTGTTGATGGGTATAAATTATTTATTTATTTATTTTTATTTTTGTGAGACAGAGTCATGCTCTGTTGCCCAGGCTACAATATAGTGGTGTCAGCCTAGTTCATAGTAACCTTCGACTCCTGGATGCAAGCCATCCTCCTGCCTTAGCCTTCTGAGTAGCTAGCTGGCACTGTAGGCTCCTGCCACCATACCTGGCTACTTTTTCTATTTTTAGTAGAAATGGGGTCTTAGTCTTGCTCAGGCTGGTCTCAAACTCCTGAGCTCAAGGGATCCTCCCACCTCAGGCTCCCAGAGTGTTAGGATTACAGGCGTGAGTCAATGAGCCCAGTCTTTGATCATTCCATTAAATCTCACAGCCTACCCCTGCCAATAACTCCTGATTCCTCATTTCCTGCTGTACCTTTTTGTCCAGTACTTTTAAACCTTACCTGTCTAATACTATGTAATCTAAATTCTAATTTTTATAATTTCGTTCTCTATCGTGAGCACACACACACATGCAAATGTAACCACCACAAGCGCAAGGATATTTTATTTTGCTCACTGATGTATCCCAAGTGTTTAAATGGCACCCAACACAATGAGACACCCAAAGAATATATGTAGGATGCAAAGGTTCCAAGAAACTACAAGAACATTTCAGGATAAAGAAGACACTTTGAACACATCCACGTGATTT